TCACCCAATCTGCTCCATAGGTAACAGCAAATATAGGTTAAATTTGTAAGGAAATTAAAAGGGACACGTATAAAGATGTAGCCAGACTTTTTTTTAAAGCGATATAAAGATCTTCATATGCCAGACATGGGACAGAAGCGTAAAGGTATGTGAGGCAGGCAAGAGAGTCCATAGCCAGGAAAGGAGGACTCTAGAGAGGGCTGGACAGGGCAGGAGAGGCTCAACGGAGGACCATGGACTTGAGATAAGGCTTCATGGTGATGGGGCCTTAGATGGGCTCACAGGGCTCTGCTCCTGCATTGTCACTGCTCCAGCAGGACCGGTCTTATAGATTTAAAGAGAAACAGCCCCTTGCTTTCTGGGAGGCCCTAAGGTCCCAGGAACTGAGGAGCTCTGAGCTGGAGGTCTTCTTAGAGAGCGTCTCTCTGGGGCAAGGGCAGAGGTTGTGGGGGGAGGCAGACCCAACTCCCCTCACTCCCAGGTCTTCTCAGCACTCCCTGTGAAGTCTGACTCAGTCGTTCTTGGCGGGGCCTGGGAACCTGCATTTAACGAGACCACAGATTCTCCTGGCAATTAACCAAGCTTGGGAAACCCCATACTCCTTCAGACTGCCAACCTGCTTCATGAGTTGCAGGTCTTTACAAAAGTCTCGGGGGCGGGTGAGTCAACAAAGCCTGGCCCTGGAGTCCCAACCATTCCGCCCACTGCCCTCCCACTCCCCTTCTATTCCCCTTTATTTTTCTCCCTCTGTCCCATCACTCGCTGATCACAGTCCCTGCCCTAGAGGAAGCCACCCAAGGCCCAGGCTATCTAATCAGGGAGACAGACACATGAGAAGGTAAACTGCAGTGGTTTCTCCAGGTGTGGTCTGCTCCAGGGAGGGAAAGACTTTCTGTGGGATCTAGGGAGGCCCTGGAATGTGTGGTTTAGAACTGGAGCTGGCAGGATGGAAAGGAATTTGTCAGGTGGGGAGGGTGGGCAGGGCCGTCTAGGCAGACTGAACATCATGTGTTGTCAAGCAGCACAGGGAAAAGAAATGGCAGGGTTGCATCCCCTTAATTTTGTTGTGTTTAGTATCTTTTCTTCAGGTGTAGTTTACAAAGAGTAAATTAACAAATATTTCTGGCTATTGTTTCTTCAAAAGTTTGTCCGTTCTCCCTGACCTTCCTTTTGCCTACAACTCCAAGTGCACATACTGGGGGTGCCCCCCAAAATGTATGCACATTTTAAGAAATGAAAAGTGTATTAAAATTGTAATACTTGATATATACCAATATCAAAAGGTGAATACAAGTCACGTTTGACTTCTGCAATTACAAGAGGTGCTCAAAGTGGTGACCATCGGTGCCCAGACAATTCTGATTACAGTGAACTACTGCTTGAGCAATGCTGACCAAAGTGTCCACTTGTATGCGTTTTTTTGGCACCCCTGGTATGTTAGACTATTTGATTTTAAACATTTTTTTAAAAACGTTTTATTGGGGAACAGTGTGTTTTTCAAGGTCTCATCATCTCCAAGTCAAGTAGTTGCTACATTCTAGTTGTGGAGGGCGCATCTCAGAGGCCCATATGGGGATCGAACTGGCAACCTTGGTGTTATGAGCGCTGTGCTCTAACCACCTGAGCTAACTGGCCGCCCCTAAACTACTTGGTTTTGACCCAAAAGTCATTGGGGCTATTAATTTTTTCCCAGTTTGCTCTCTTCAGTTTAGATTATTCCTACTGCTATGTTTTCAAGCTTACTAATCTTTTCTTTTATAATTTAAATTTTTTCTTAAGACTAGCCAGTGAATTTTTCATTTTGGATATTGAATTTTTTATCCCTAAAAGTTCAATTTTATACTTTTTTACAGTTTTGATGTTTCTCACATTATATTAATGTTTTCCTTATTTAAGCATATTTTCAGTAGCTGTTTTAAAGTCCTTGTCTGTTAATTCCATAATCTCAGCATGTCTGGGTCTGTTTCTATTGACTGATTCTTCCTTCCTGTCATGGGTCACGTTTTCCTATTTCTTAGAACACCTACCAATTGTTTCATATTTTTTTCAGTGTCTCAATTGTTTTGTGTATTTTTCTAACTGTTTACAAGTCCAATGTCAGTTACTTTGTTTTGGCCATAAATGTATGTCAACTCAAATTTTATATATGTACAAACCTGTGTAACTATCACCTTAATTAACCCTAAAAGACCCTGAAAGAATCTCGCTTGCTCGTTTCCAGTCAGTATCCACCCTCAGAGGTAAATTGCTCATTTATATTTTCGTTCATTTGTTTACTCATTCATTTATTCATTCATCAAACACTTACTGAGCTCTGGGTAGTGGCTGAATAGTGATTTACAAGAAGAATAAGATTGGCAGCTGGGGCCGGCCGAGTGGCTCAGTTGGTTAAGAGCTCGCTCAAGAGTTTGAGCTCTGAGCAACAGCGGTTCGAGTCCAGCCCGAGCTGAGCAGCCGCTGAGCTGCCAACAGGTAGCAGGATGGCTCAGCTAAAAAAAAAAAAACAACAAAAACAAACAAACAAACAAACAAAAGATTGGCAACTTCCCTGATTGACTAAATTTTCAAATTGTAGTCTTAATCCCTTCCCTTTTTTCTTCCCCATTCCCCATGTCAACGCTTAACCTATTCGAAAGTGCTCCATAGCCTCCTGTTTCCTAGAGTGGGCAGTGAGATCTTTAATCGCATCTTCATTGCCTGGGCTCTGTTGGCCCCTGTCACTTACAGCTCAAAGCCCCTTGCTCTGCACTGCTGTGTCCAGCCATTCTGGCCATTTTTATGATCCTCATAGGTGATATATGCTGTTTCCTGCTCATGAAGTGTTCTCCCCTCACCAAACTTTTGCCCTTAATTAATTTCTATCTATTGCTCAGGTCCTAGCTCGTGTCACTTCCTCAAGGGAGCTCTCTTTGACCACCCAGATAAGGAAATTTCTCCTATTAAATGTTTTTATAGTACCAGTAACCTTTTTGGGAAACGCTTATCACTCATAATTTCACATGTATTTATTTGTATGACTGAAAGTTCAAGGGTAAGTTCTAGGTTTGAATAACTAGGTGAGTAGTGGTACCATGAACAGAAATATTGAAAGAGGCTTTGGTTGTAACTTTTTAAAAATAATTGTTTTTTTTTTCAATTACAGTCGACATACAATATTATATTAGTTTCAGGTGTAATACACAGTAATTAGATATTTATATAACTTATGAAGTGATCACCTCAATAAATCTAGTACCCTTCTGACACTATACATAGTTATTACAATATTATTGACTATTGGGTTGTCGGAAAAGTCATGACGCATTTTTGCAATGAAAAACATAGAAAAAATACGTCATGACTTTTCTGACAACCCAATATATTCCATATGCTATACTTTATATTCTCATGACTATTTTGTAACTGCCAATTTGTACGTCTTAATCCCTTCACCTTTTTCACCTATCCCCCCATCCCCTCCCATCTGGCAACCATCAATAAGTTCTCTATGTCCATGAATTTGTTTCTGCTTTGCTTGTTTGTTTATTTTTGCACTTTAGTTTCCACATATAAGTGAAATTATATGGCATTTGCTTTTCTCTGTCTGACTTAACTCCACTACAGTGCCCTGTAGGTCCATCTATATTGTTGCAGATGGCGAGATTTCATTCTTTTTTATGGCCAAGCAATATTCCATTGTATACACATGAAGGTCTGACAATTCAGTTTGCGAACTCGCCACCGTGTGCTAAAAATTGGCAGCACTGCACAAACAGCTCGGTAAGGTGTCATAACCTTTGTAATATCAGTGTCTCACAGCTGTGTTCATGTCAACGTGTGGCGGTGTCTTGCTGAGTGGTGTTCATTATTGTTGTTGCGTGCTTTTGTGTGCCATCTCGAGAATGTCTGAGCTTGAATTAGAGCAACAAACAAACATTAGATTTCTTATTAAGCTTGGCAAGAGTGGAAGTGAAATCAGGGACATGTTAGTTCAAGTTTATGGGGATAATGCCATGAAGAAAACGGCAGTGTACAAAGGGAGTAAACGTTTTTCTGAGGGGAGAGAATGCATCACTGAATAAGAGAGGACAGGGTGGCCAGTAACAAGCAGAACTGACGAAAACATTGCAAAAATTTGTCAAATTGTGCGTCAAAATCATCAGCTAACTGTGAGAAGCATAGCAGGCCAAGGAAACCAATAGAGAAACAGGAAAATCTTAACTGAAAATCTTGGCCTGAGAAACGTGTGTGTGAAAATGGTCCGGAAGGAGCTCTCACATCACGACAAGGCACCAGCTCACACGGCACTGTCTGTGAGGGAGTTTTTAGCCAGTAAACAAATAACTGTATTGGAACACTCTCCCTACTCACCTGATCTGGCCCCCAATGACTTCTTTCTTTACCCGAAGATAAAGGAAATATTGAAAGGAAGACATTTTGATGACATTCAGGATATCAAGAATAATATGATGACAGCTCTAATGGCCATTCCAGAAAAAGAGTTCCAAAATTGCTTTGAGGGGTGGACTAGGCATGGGCATTGGTGCATAGCTTCCCAAGGGGAGTACTTCAAAGGGGACCATAGTGATATTCAGCAATGAGGTATGTAGCACTTTTTCTAGGATGAGATCGTGAATTTAATTGTCAGACTTTGTATATGCCATTTCTTTACCTATTCATCCATTGATGGACACCCAGGTTTGCCTCCACATCTTGGTTGTTGTAAAGAATCCTCCAATGATTACATGAATGCACATGTCCCTTCAAAGTAGTGTTTTGGGTTTCTTTGGATAAATACCCAGTAGGTTGCTGGGTCCTTGGTTATAACCTTTGTTGGGAGATGGTGTTTGGATAAGAGTCTGAGCTCAGTTTGGATCTTATTGAGCTTAAGGTTTATTTGCAACATCAGGGGGAGATACCAAGTAGGTAGTTAGATAGATGGAGTTTAGAGGAAAGGTCTGGGCTGGAGATTAAACTAAGTGATTTGCATTTGTTAGCAAAGAAGCAATGGGTGTGTTATGATGAGATCAGCTGATGAGAGGAGAATTAAAACGAAGAGAGAGCTACAGGCGTGTACTGAGTGCTGAACTTGCTGACACATAGGACGGGGCAGGAGAAGGGAAACCAGCAAAGGGACCAAGGAGGAAGAGTAGACAGGAGAAACCCAGGAGAACATGGTGTCAGAACCGAAGGGCGGGACGGGGTAAGAAGCTGAGTGTGGTCTCTAGTGCCAGATGCTACTGAAAAGTCAGGTAAGATGAGAACCTAGACACGTTCACGAACTGCCCCCATTCCTGTGGAGTCAGAAGCCAGACTGGAGTGGGCAAGGGGGTGAGTGGGCGCTGAGGCCACACAGGCCATGAGTACTCAGCTCTTGAAGATTTGGGCTGTGACACAGGATGGAGATAGGGCAGGAGCTAGAAGAGAATGAGAGGGTGAAAGGAGGATTTTTATTGTGCTGGGGGTGGTTTGTTTGTTTTCATGGGCAAGACTTGAACGTCTTTAAAAGCCAGTGGCAAGGATCCAGTTGAGAGGGAGCGTCTAAAGATAGAAGAAAGTGGTGTAAGGGTCCTGAGATGGAGATAAGGATGCTTTCTAAAGTGCGGGAGGAGGACTGATCTTAGAAGGAGGGGTGGAGTGGAGGTGTGTGGGGGGAGAAGTGCTGGGGAAAGTAGGGAGGTTAAGGCAGTTCTTTTTCTGAGGGGCTCTCTTTAATGGGAGGTAAGTTTCATCTGGTGTGTGTGTGTGTGTGTGTGTGTGTGTGTGTGTGTGTGCGCGCGCGCGCACGCACATGTGTACATGGCAAGGTGATGAATCCATCTGAAAGAATTGGGAAGGGTTGAGATATTCCCTACAGTCAGTGGCGCAGTGAGTTGATCAGACAAATAAAGATTGGTGAGTGGGAATCCACAGTGGACCAACCGGCCTCACTGAGCCACTTTAACCCCAGCGCTTGTCAAAGAAGGAACAGCTAGGTGGGTTATTCTAGGTCTGAGATCTTGACAAAAATGTGTTTCACAAAGGCAACGGCCCCAGGGAGTGTAGGGGTTGGGAATGAAATGAGGCCCTTTGATACTCAAGCTGGATAAGAAGGCGAATGAACACAGGAGGGTGTGTGGGTGGACGGAAGGCAATGCATCCTTTCCAGGGAACTGGACCGACAAGGTGCTTGAGGATGAAGCCGGGAACATAAGATAAGTCGGGGCGCAATGGAGAAGAACCTGGCATGCCGGGCACTTGGGTGTTCCTCCCAAGGTCAGTGGGGAGCCACTGAGGAATCTGGGTAGGTGAGGGACGCGTGAGATGTTCCTTGTCTGCAGGGTGGATGGGGGACTGGAGCTGGGGGACAAGTGAAGAAATGAGCAGGTGGGAGGTGATGGCAGGTGGAATGAAGGCAGTGGCAGCTGAGAGAGGGGGACCCACACTGGGTCAGGCATGAGGAGATCCAAAGGTCCCTGCCACCCTGACTGACAAGAGTTTAGTGGCAGGACTCAGGCCACAGTCATGTCACAGCAGACAGAGGGCCTTCCTAGGACTGGGAGAGAGAAGTGGTGGGAGGGAAAACGGGCAGCCACGTGAGGACAGGAGCTTGGAATGGAGAGAGGCCAAGCACGGAAGGTGGTTGGATTTTGAGAGCTGACTAAATGCTTTTGTCAGAGCTTTTCCTCAGGAGTGTAAGCACTGGGCCGGCCGAGTGGCTCAGCTGGTTAAGAGCTCACTCAAGAGTTGGAGCTCTGAGCAACAGGGTCCCCGGTTTGATTCACGGCCCAAGCTGAGCTGCCGCTGAGCTGCCAACAGGTGGCAGGATGGCTCAGCTAAAAAAAAAA